TATCCATACATTCGTGCCTCTTGTCGCTATCGCCGCGACTCCAACCGCCATTGCTGTAATGATCGTCCCCATCCTCGCCTTCCCCACCTTCCTCACCTTCTCCCCCTTCTCCCTCATACTCCTCACAATCCCCAAATCCTTCTTTCCCTTCATGTTTTCTTTCATCTTTATGCTCGGTCGCTTCTCCCTCACTCCTTGTGCAAGAGGTAGGCGTACCTGCAATGTCAGTATCAGAACTCCTATCCTGTTGCTCTGGCGTCGAGGGATTATATGTCATAACGCTGGTGGGAGTTTTGGGTGATTGTATGTGGAGGCCTTGCCCAAGGTATCCATCCCCACAGAGTCCAAGTTGTATAAAACGGTCTTGATACGAAGACGACTTGGGGAGGGACACTTGAAGTTTCCGTTCTCGGTACCTTGCAATTATAAACAGACGCAATTCATTATCGCCATTTCGTAGTGTCTCCCAAATTGCAATTGGGTAGCAGCTGATATTGTGGTCAATCAAGGATGAAAGAACATCTTTGTTTCGGTGCTTGACGTAGTAGGCGATATAGTTGGCGAGAAGCGGATCTGCTGGTTCATGTACATTTCCTTCAAACATACCGAATGCATCCTCCGATGAGGAGTGCGCAGTGGCATCGCGCGGCCATATGGCTTCGGGCGTTGGCGAAGACGGCGCTGTCAACTCTGTAATGGATGGTACATGAAGCCCGCACGAATCCGCACCATCTGACGTGAATGCGCTAGACAGATGGGTAGTAGTTTCGGCGGCAGGGGGAGGGACAGCAGATATCTGGGGTTGGCTTTGGCAGGGTTGTGGCTGAGACGTTGGTTGAGTTGTGTCGACGGATTCGACAGCTTGTGTAACAATGGTACCTTGCTCAGCTATGTGTTGTGCGCCCGTCGGCCGTGGACTGGGCAGGAACTCATCTTCCACGAAGCTCGAGCTCCGGGTAGGCGGCCGTGACAGTGGATTAGGGCGGACTCGCTGGATATCGTCGTGCGGTATGTTCCCGGCCGATAGGGGTTGGTTGTGACAATTTCCAAGAAGATCCTCAAGCAACGTCTCTCGGAACTTAGGATCTCCCATCTGGTGTATCGATGCGGCGACAACGTCTTTGACATCCTCGCTAGAAAAATACTTACGGCTTGCATTTTCGCTAACGAGATCTCTTCCCGCATCGTAAAAGACGAGTGCGCTATCGAAAAGAGCCTCTAGGTTGTCCTGGGCTATTAGGGACCGCTTCTCGTCGAGACATGAGCCGGGCGGAAGAGTTTCTATCAGCCAGTTTTCGACTTTCTTTGAAAGCGGTACCGATGCAGCGTCGACACCCAGATTTCGGTTGAGGCAGGCGACGCAAGCAGTTGCAGTTGTACTCATACGATCAATATCCCCAGGTTCAGGTAAATTTAACGTCTTTTCAGGGTCGCTGAGAGTACGGAAGCGCTGGTTTACGACCTGCCCGAGGCTGAGGGACTCTGCGGATACGCCATTCTCTGAGGATGAAGCCGAACTGGTTCGAGATTTAAGGAAAGGCCTCTGCCGGGCTCGAGGGTGGAGAAGGTTCGAAGAATACTCATGCCTTCCCCTTCGCTTGGAGCGGGAGAGTTCCAAACTATTAAGAATCTCACGGCCCAGAGCCTTAAACCTAAACGATATAGAGAGCATTGTGGGTGTTGATAGGTCCTAGTTGACGATATAGCGCCTATCCTTACTTAATAACTCGAACGAGAGGGACTAGAGACGAGGCTGCGAGAGTGCCTTTATCTCGGACCAAGCGCATTTCGAGGTTGGCTTTAGCGTAAGGTTGTGACGGTGCCGAAGAAGATATGATGGAAGATGGGAATTGGACGACTCGCTCCCAGATGGCTTGTCGGTTAGGATCTGTGCGTCTCGATGGAATTTCTAAGTTTTAAAGGCTTTCATAAACGACTAAAGGCGATGAGGGGTGTGCTATCCCTAGGTATATATGATAATTCATTCTGTTCAGCCTTGGACTGATACCATTCACAGGTGCACGTTTCATGCACCATCCCAACCAGCGCAATCGTACAAAGGCTTGCTAGGGGAAAGCTTTGCTATTGCTAATGTTATTCCACGAGCGAGTCAAAATTCTACTGTCAAGGTTGTAGATGGGGGGGGTTTTTTTTTTTTTTTTGAATAACCCTCCTGTTGGAACGTTGGTCTGAATTCCAGGTTTTTTTGCTGTCTGGTGGGTGGGATCACTTAGTGTGCTCTTGATTCGGGTGCATCCACTGGATCCTGTTTTAACAGCGAGATGCGATGTTTCATGGTATCAAAACGAACTCAAACTTTTGAGCATCGTGTAACACGCCAGCACTTTAATTTATCTCGCATGGTTCCTTGCTTACTTATTGACCTGCTACCTACCCGCTTGCTTACGTGCGCGCATGCTAGCTAGCATCCTATCGACTCGTCTAGATGTCTTTGTCGGGTGGCGAACATGATTAGCGGGTCGCCGACAGTGGTAAATTTCGTTCCAGCTTCCAGGCCAACCTTTCTTTGCTTGTGTCTTTGGAGCGTCCCAACATTGCAATATTGAGATCTTCAGATTTTAAGTTATGAAGCTTGTAGCTTGAAACGGAGCTTGGTGACTTGGAGAGCAGCAGCAGTTTTTTTTCCCCCCCCTTAAATCTGTGGGTTTAAAGAGTCATAGTTCTTGCGGAGAATCTGTGTCACGAATTCGAAACTTGGAATCGAACCGTGGTGTTTAAGTGCCAGGTGAATCGTACCCTTTCCCAAAGCGGTTGTTGAGATACTCCCTCTAGCTTTGCTTCTCCCCGAATTTCATCGACCGCCTTTTCTTGTTCGAAAGGAAAAACCGAGCTCATGAGACCCAGGGAAACCAAGGAATCAAACAGAAAGAAACAGAACCGAACAGGGGTGCTTCCCACCAATATTGCAATTAGGATTGATTAGGATGAAGTATCTACTGCCCGACAAACCAGCAACGACTGCGCCAACCCATTGTAACTTCTTGATCCAAGGATCCATCTCTCTCTCCAGAATCAATTCGATGAAAGGTAGAAAGTTCTGGAAATTCGACACCCACAAGCCCGAGGCATAGCAGAAGGCATGGATATGCGTAGAGCCGCGTGGACTTTTTGAGATGTAGAATCGAGTAGCTCGCTGGTAGTTTAAAAAAAAAAAAAAAAAAAAAAAAAAAAAGCGTTTGTGAGGTCTGGGATCGAGACCGGTCCAAGCCCCGAAGATGGGATCCTTCTTCTTGAGATCTTTCTTGACTTTTCCGGGTCGGGTCATGGGAGACATCGCTCCGAGTAGACTGAAGGCTTCGAGAGTGAAGTATGTGGAGCTGAATTAATTTACTTAGCCTGGTCAAGAGGGACTCAAGGTGAGGTTCTCCATGGCCAAAAAGATCCCGGCCAAAAGCTTCTCATAGCGCGCTCGCGACCGAAATACCTGGTCGACGGTCTGCGAGGAACAGACTATAGCGTGGTGGGGTTTCGGTTTGACTATTTGATCGGATTGCTAGCAGGGGGTGCTATATACAGTGCTTTCGAAAAGTATTGTACGCCCCCCCCTGTCACTTCTTTGCTTGTTTACTTATAAAAATCGTGGCTTCCTTATATCCCATTGGGTGAAGCCACGGGAGCAAGCAAGGGGGGCGTGCAATACTTTTCGAAAGCACTGTAGCTACCAAACGTTGCACTACGGACTGTCGTAGCTAGCTAGCTATAGCACCCAAATGCGTGGCTGTACATGCAGAAAACAACAGCAGAGCTGGCAGATAGTCCTTCAGACTTGAAGAGATATAAACCCCAGCTGGTCCGATGTCCTAAAGTTTTATTTCGCGAGGGTCACAACAAGGCGATAGCACAATAGCTAGCTATGCTAGGGGATCAAAAAAAAAAAAAAAATAAAAACTAAAGAATAATAACAAAAAAAAGAAAGAATGGAAAGGAAGCGGAGCCTATTTCGCCTCTTCATTCACCTTACACTTCTACTCTTGAGGCGCAATATCCTGAGAGTTCATTAAAGTGATGTGTGTCGTTCAGATAAATTATTGGGTCTACCTCAAATACATATAAATACTCCCCGACATACTCGTTCCCTGTACTTCGAATAATTACAAGTTTTATATTTTACTTGATATCTAAATAAACCTCAAGCCCCGAAAGAAATCTACCGTTGGCAAAATCATAGAATACCACCCTCGTTCCCTCTCAACCGCTCTGTCCATTCATTCCCATTGCAAAGCTACAGGAGACTGATTCCAGATTGTGGATCCTGCAAACAGTTCGAACAAAACTGCTTTTGTTGTCGGCCGAACAGTGCAGCAAGCACCGCGCGCAAATTGAAAATGGCTATTCCAATCTTCCTTCCTTCAAATAACTCACAGTCCCAGCGACGGACCGGTTCTCGCTCCCAGCAGCAAGAGCCCGACTCGCCAACTCTGGAGCTCGGTGGGGGAACCTCCCAATCCAACAACTCTAGAGTTTCCTACACCAATAGCAACATCAACTGGCAAGAAGTCAGAGATGTCGTTCGGTCCCGGGAAAACCAGCCTAGACAGGCCGGAATCTATGGCGCATCTGGTTTTTCAGGCTCGCTGCATCAAGCTAGTATGTACTCTTCAGCTTTGCCGTCATGACCGCTCCTAACAGAAAAGATAGACAGGCCAACCCCAAGTTTTTCCAGCATTGCTAACCGCGGCTCTGCATCCGGTTCCTCTTAAGCCCTTGATGGCGGCGACTTGCAGCTTGTAGAATCGATGCCCAGAACTCCTCACTGTCTTCCTTTGTTCTGAATACGGCGCTATTCGATCGGAGGGCTCCTATTGGTCTCCTGTTGCAGATTCTGCAAAGCTTGTGTTGACAACCTTCGGCAGGCCTCAACACCACCACATCGTATCGCATCTCGGATCGCATCGACATCGTACCAGCTGAAGGTGAATCAAACCATCTACGTCCCAACCTGGATCCTTCATATAGATCAACTACTCCAATTCCAGCACGGTTTCATGGTGTAGTTGGTTATCACGCGACCTTAACATTGCTTTCGAGTATGTGATCGGTCGAGGTCTTGAGTTCGATCCTCAATGAAATCATTTTTTTTTATTTTCATTTTCTATTTTCTTGACAACACTCCGTCTTTTCCTCCTATATGGGAGGGATTACTCTTTTTCTTCTTTCCCCCCCTGCTTTTTCTTCTTCTTTCCATTCTGTATGCGGGAGTTTTATTGGGTTTCAGTCAAGGCGTTTAAGTGATAGTAGACGGCGTCCGTTGCAACTTTGTACTTCTATTCGTGTGGGGTTTTTTTTTGCGTGGTGTTCGGGGTCTTCTTTTAAGCTTTGTGTGTTATATCATTTTTTGTTTCCCGCTTTTTGCCCTTGTTCTTAAGATCTTTGTCTTCAATTTTGGTTCTTTGGTTCTTCACAGGAGCATTCGGGTTCACTGCATTATTCTCTTTTATTTTTGGGCTCATGCATATTTATGGTAGTATTGAGAAATTTTCATTTTATAAAAGCCAATAAAATAACTCTTCTTTAAATCTCAAAACAGCATCCATGATTGATATTCGTGGAAAGAATAATTAAAGAACATTAATAGTCGCGTTTAGTTAGATACAAAGAAGGAGAAGGAAGGTATACGGGTCAAATTATGTACTCGGAGAATGGAAGTAAAAAAGGAAAGGAAAATTTAAAAGCGGAAGGGGAAATCTTTTTTTTTTTGACGAGGATTAAAAGGAATAGAGGGGAATATGGAGGGAAAAAATAAAAATCTTAAAAAAAAAAAGAAATCCGAAAGTCGTAGTTGGTCAATAAGCAGCGACTCGGTTTCGGTAAACTTATGAAATAAACATTATGGGAACTGCAGACGCTAAGAAAAATGATATAAAGCGGAAGGGAACAAAACATCAGACATTATTATCATAAGGGAAGCCGTGGATCTTACAATGGGCGCTACTTTCCAGCATTTAAATCAGTAGCGGCGAAGGCTGGACGATCCGTGCCAGAAAGTCAAAAATAATAAAGGAGGTATCAACGAAAAGGAAAATAAAACAAAGCGGTGATTTCCGTAGCGTTCAGCCTGGCTGCGAGACACCCTGCAATCGTAATGTTGAGGTGGCTAATGAAAATTTACCGTCTCATGTAAGGGCTGTTCATTGCGAACCCGGGGACTCCTAGATCGTCCTCATCTTCGTCCTCATCATTGTCGATGATGCTCTCCATGTTGACCTGGGCGTTGGTGAGAGCGTCAGCAATATCTTCATCTTCTTCGACGAAGTATTGTTGCCCTGGCATGCTGGGTCCTAGGTTGTCATTTGCGTCCTCGTCGTACGCGAAGGTACTGCTTCTCTCGCTTCGTTCGCTCCTTTGACTGGAATGGCTCGGGGCTCTTTGCCTGAGCCTTGATGAGCTAGGAGTGGCGGTAACATTGGATGTGGAGCTGCTGACAGATGGGGGTGGGCGAGGGGCTACAATTTCATTGGACCCTCTGCTTGTTAACCCTGCGAATCGGTCCTTCGCGAGGCTAGATGCTAATGCCGCTGGCTTGCTCAAGGAAATTGGTGGAGTTAGGAGCCCTGTCAAGAAGTTCTGTCTCGAGGTTGGTCTGGATGATGGTTGCTGAACGCTTCCTTGGTCCGATGCATCTCTTGCGATGGCCGAAGATGACGACGCGGAAACTGAAATGTATCCTGGATCATCATACTTCGCTTTACCTTTCCTCAACCCTCCGAGGGCCCCGCTAAGACCTCGGTTGGCAATCCCATACAGGCTACCGACGGTGGTAGCTGGAGCTTGTTCGGTAGATGCGCTTAGTGCCGCATTGCGTTCTCTTTCTTGCTGTTCCATCTCGAGGTTTGCTTTCAGCCTAATCGCGGCATTGCGCACAGTGACCTTATCAAACTGAGGTTTGCTGAGCTGACGGACAATCTCTTCGAGCTCACCGATACGAACGCTGAGAAGCTCCCGAAGGAAGACATTTTCATGTTCCATTTCTTTAGCAGCTGGGGATTTACGGAGGGTTTCTATTTCATCGGCTTGGGTTTCAATAGTGGCTTCCTTCTCTTGAAGTTGTTCTTGTAAAACAGCAAGAGATTCTCGGAGAGCTTTATTATCGGAAGCAGATGGAGTACTTTTGGTGTCGACGGTGTGATGGGGGAGATGGTGACGAATTATCGCTGGAGCTTTTGCGCCCTGGGCAGCAACCACAGCCGCCTGAGCAGCCTTCTTCGCAATCTCCAGTTGGTTTTCCAAGACTTCAATCTTGTCGCTATAAACGCTGTGTTGGGCTTGCTGGACCTCCATCTGCTCCTTCAAGAATATTCTTTCACGTTCGATATCCTCAATAGCATTTTCGATGTCGCGCTTGTGCTTCTCTTTGAGGCTCTCAATCATATTCTCATATCGCTGGTGTTGGTCCTCGAGTTTCGCAGTATTCTGGTGAGCTTCATGTTGAATTGAAACCTCGTGGGAGGTCCTCATTTCTCGAATGAAGGCATCTTTAGAGTCGATAGCTTCATCATGCAGCATCGTTAGCCTCTCTTTAGAGGTTTCGGCGTCCATCATGATCCTGCTGATCTCGGTCTCAAGGCTAGCCTTCACGTTCTCGGTTTCCGCACGTGCAGCATCTAGTTGGGCCTGTAGTGCGAGAGTGATTTTGAGCGCGTCGTGATTGTTAGTATCCCTTTGCGTCACCACTGCTCGCTCTTTGTCAATAACCTCCGCCCTCAGTCGGTCTACAAGAGCCTCCATCTTTAGATTATCCCGCCTGACTTGTTCAACTTCCACCCTTAACCTGATAGCTTCTCTTTCCTCGTCTTGCATCCTCAGCACATCAGCCTCCATGCGTTCTTTCAACTTTAGAACATGTTCAAGTTCGATTCTAAGTCTGATCGCATTCTTCTCCTCGGTTTCTAGCCTTCTCATCTCCTCCTCTCTGCTCTCACGCATTCTCAATTCGGTATCGAGTCGAGTTTCTAGAGTCTGGATACGATTTTTCTGAAGTTCGTTTCGTTCTCTCCATCTTGCTTGCTTGTTTTCGACTTCAGCTGCGGCTTTGATAACCTTATCTTGGAGGTCTTCCAGTCTTGAGTTAGAGCCATCATGTAACCTCCTTGATTCTTCTAGACTTGCTTCAAGTACTGGAATTACCCTCCGAAGTTCTGAGGCTTCCGCGACCGCAGCCTCCATATCGGCCACAATTTTATCCGACTTAGTTTTCGCATCAGCAAGCTGGCCCTCCAGATTGGCTTTGACGACAGTCAGGTCCCCAACGGACTTTTGTAGACTTGCATGCGCACCCTCTAGCAGAGCAGCCCGCATTTGCGCCTGTGTCAGGGTCTTATTCCTCTTCTCCTCCACCTCTCTGAATTTCCTCTCCATTTCATCGGCTCTTTCTCTTGCTTCCCGTTCCTTCTCAGTCGAAGTATTCCACCTCCTCTCGAGCTCTGAGATTGAGTCTTGTAGCACTTTCTTGCCATCGACTTCAGCTTCTTGGAGCCTTCGACTTTCCTCAAGAGTTTTCTCCAGTGCCGAAATTCTCATTTGCAAAATTTTAACTGTTGCAGCAGCGCCTTCATCGACGGAACTACTTGTTTCCCTTTTAGCGCTGTTGGCAGTGACTTCGGACTTCTTTTCTTCCTTTTCTTTTTGCCCCTCCAAGAACGCTGTCATCATTGCTTTGAGCTCTTCAAACCCCTTATCATTCTCCACAACAGGTTCCGAAAGTTTTAAAGAGGTAGCTAATTCTCGGCTGGCGAGGGCATCCAGAACAACGCTCCTAATACGTTCAAGCTTCTTATCCTCCTTCCTTTTGCCGGGGCTCCTCAAAACGTTGCCGCTGTCGTCGTCCGCATCTTCTTCATCGTCTGCATCGCTCCAAGCGCTCTCGCGGTTTACCATTCTTCTCCGTAGAGGGGTAAAGCCTTGCAAAGCAGAATAAATAGCGCCGAGCTGCTTTTCAACAGGGTCAAGCCTCGTTTCGAGGATTCCACCGACAACACTCTCAACCCGAGTGTCGAAGAACGAAGCACGAGAACGTAGCTTGGAGTCCTGGGCATCATTGTCCGGTAGTAGGGAATCCCAATCACTGTCTGGCTCTAGTGGATCGATCATAGGTATTCCACGCTCTGCAGGAGTTTGCGGCACATGTGTGACGAAAGCATTGGCGTTTGCTGGGCTTGAGGCGCCGGCCAGGGTTTGCTGCAATGCGGCTTTGGCTTTCTCAGGGGGTGGGATATACTCAGGTAGTGCTGGTGCTGGTTGAATACTCTCGCTGCTGCTGGGCGGAGAAGCGACAAACGCAGACGCGACAGGGGGGTTGAGTTGCACCTCCCTCTGTAGGTCATCTGAATCTTCTTCTTCTGGGTGCAGCTCTTCGTCCTCCTCCCCATCGGCGGATTCTGGGACCACATTCTCTTGGGTGAACATAAAGTTAAAAGTATCATCTAACTCTTGAGCTGACGGCATTGGTAACCGTTCTGCGATCGGTGCGGAAGAAAGTATCAATTGGTCGCTTCCCTTCTCAGCTGAACCTGCGAACGTAAACTCGGCAGCCTCAGGATCAAATACGACTTCACCCTTTGCGCTAACCTCTTTCTCATCGCTAGCAACAGGGAAATCTTCCTTCTGCTTTCGTTCCATTAGTGCCTTTCCAATGGCTAAATCTTCGAGGTGTTGGTATTCCTGATCCATTACGCCGAACACATCACTCTTCGTCCGCTTTTCATAGTGATCGCTCGCGCTGGCGGGCCGGGCTTCCGCAAAATTGACGGCATCGGCTGAGATCTTGAAGAGATATTTCTCAGACTTGTTTACTTCGAGGCGAGTATCGGATTCGTTGCCCACATATGATTCCATTGGTCCTCCTCTGTTCCCGTGCTCGAGAACTTCCGGGGCGGAAGATGGTGAAGAAGTGGTTGGTACTTGAGGTAACTTGTCATAGGTGGCTAGTTCTTTGTCGTCATCATCTTCAAGTGCTCGCTTAGGCGACGCATTCTGTGCCCTTTCCCGTTCCTCTTCCAAGTGCCGCCGCTCGATTTCCAGCTCCATCTCTCTCATTAATGGGCCAGGCGAAGGCGCAAACACGGGGACTTCGTCT